GTGATTTGTGGCGGGGAGCTTGTGGAAATGTATGGTTCATTGTGGAAAGTGTCATAGGTGAAAGGAGAAAGAGACGACGATAGGGAATGGCAGATGAGAGAGGTGGAGGTGGCGATGGCGATAGAGGATAGTTGTGGTGTTTTAGAATTAGGATTTGGGTAGAAGGAAATAAGGATATTTTGATATCTTTATTCTAAGAAAAAATTATATTAAGAAAAAATTTCATTAAATGTGTAAATTGATGTAGGCCGAAAGGTACTACATTGAGGCCGCTTAAGTTACATTTATAATCTTTGAATTTTGTTTATTTGGTGGAGATGATGTGTTTTATGCACTTCTATAGATTTGGCAAGCAACACGCAAATTCAAGCAAAAAGTGGCGCAAAAGCAGATTCTTTGTGCGAGTAGTGACAATTCTCAGACTGCTACCTCACTGTACGTGCGGCCAGGCTCCACCACACGTGCGGCCCAACACCGCTCCAGCAGAAATTATGACTGTTTGAGTGGCCCACCTAGGGTTGGGTGCGTGTAAATTTCAGTCTGTTCTGTTAGGAATAAAAGGAAGAAAAAAGGCTGCTCTTAGGGTTCTGAAAATTCTATAAGAGAGAAGAAACAAGGGTTTGGAAAAAGGAGATTCTCAAGCTTCAAGAGCAATTTCCATTGAGGGTTCTCCTTTTTCTACTTTTTGTCACTCCTCCATGAGTGGCTAAGCTCCTCTTTTTAGGGTTTTGATGAAACCTTAGCCAAGTAAATAGGTTTTCTTTTTAATTTTCTTTTATGCAATGGTTTGAACAATTGTATGGTTCTCAAGAAGTTTTATAATATAATTTTCTATTATTTCTTCGAGTATTTTGCTTTCTGTAATTGTTGAATGCTTCCCATACAATCGTTTTCTATTATTTCATGTTCAAGGTATGAGACGAGCTATACTACGAGGGACGTGTCGTTTTGCTACCCTAGTTTAGAGCGAACGACTCGTGCTACTTGAAATGATTTGTGCCTATACATTGAACGTGTTAATTCTCTTGATAAATGTTTCGAGCTTGTAGTTGCGAAGTATTATTTAGTTCGAACCGTAACATAATTGAGTCTCAAATTGAAACCTTATTTATGTAACTAGTAGTGAATTCATTACCCTAGATTTTTTTTTTCCAAAATCAGTAATTTCATCTTTATTTATAATTGCTAGTTTATTCGTTTTGTTTAATTTAATTATTATTAGGTTATGAACAACCATCTTTTTCATCAAAATTAATTTAAGAATTTAAGAATTAAATTATTTTAATTTCTCATTTGTCCCTATGGATCGATACTTGAACTTACCGTTATTTTAAAGAATTTGGTATAGTTTAATGTTTATTTTTGGTGTGTGAAACGACCTATCAAATTTTGGCATTGTTGTTTGCCAAATATGTACAAGTGCACAAAATACATCATTTCCACCAAATAACCAAAATTCAAAAACTATAAATATAACTTAAGTGGCCTCAATGTAGTACCTTTCAGCTTATATCATAAATTAAGAAAAAATAGTGTGCAGAAATAGAATTAACCTTGTAACCACTATTTATTCCATACATATTACACTATACCCACTTTTTATTTTTCATTTTATTTTAGGTATAGGAAAATTCTCGCATCCTCCTCGAGGTCAAAGGCAATGCTTGTATTGAGATCACCAAAGTGTCCACTTTTTATTATATTACTCTTAGGTCATATTTGTTTGGGTAGATATGTGCTTGAGATTGGACTAATATTTCACTAAAATTATTAATTTAATATTTGGTTAAACAATTAAAGTACAGACTAACATTCCAGTCTTCGAATTTATATCTCACATAATCTCTCTTTATAATCCTAACTCAATCCAAACATAAGATATGATACACATTCTAAAGAAATTCGTAATCTTAGAACTATTAGTCATGTGAATGCTAATTCAACCTAATCCAATCCGCCCAAACAAACATGTTCTTATAGTGTGGTTTAGACTTCGTTGGCTATTCCAGTTGGGACTCAAAAAGCATAAAATACAAAATAAGCTAAATAAGTTAATAAGACAAAATGTTACATTCAAAGTATAATCATTTTATTTTTTCCCTCACAAAAATAAAAAAAGCTAAAAAAATTTACTAAACAAACTTTTTAATCCCAAGTTAAAAAATCCAAACTCCAAAAAATCAACTAATTTTTTTTTTTGCAAAACAGCCACTTAACATTGTTAACATGGCCCAACTCTCATATAGAAAAATGCTTGGGAGCACTAATTAGTGCTCCTACTAATTAGGTGGCAGTGGGTCCCGCCATTAATGATATGATGTTTTGATCTTGGAGTTGTATTTTTTTTTTTATACTTTTTTAATGCATTAGTGCTATTAGTGGTGATGTTTTTAGTAGGATGAATCATTGTTGTCTCATATATACTCGAACAGGTTATTTGAATAATTTTTTATTTTTTGGTCAAAATATAAGGTAAAAAAATTAGTATGTTTAAGATGATTTTTTAATTTTTTAAGAAAAGATATATAAAATGTAGAGATAAAATAAAATTTTTAACTTTTTAATATAAATTGTTAGATTTTTAATCTTTTAATAATATTTTAACTTTTAAATTAAAACACTAATAAATTGCCAAATGAGACCTGAATTAAGTGGCAGGTACAAACGCGTGTAGTTAAAAAAGCAAATGGGGGGTTTGCGTAAGAGGTTAAGGTGATGAAAGGGAGAACCAATTTGTGGGGGCCAGATGCCTCGTTTGCAAAACAAATACATTTTGCGACCAACGTCTATTTATCTGGTTACTGAGCTAATACTATCCTAGTGTGGTTACTTTTGAAATTCGTACAACTCTTCTGGTAATAATATTCACTTTTCATTGTAATATTTACCGTGTTTACTTTTAATTTTTTTAAATTAATTTTTTTTTTATTTTTAGTAAGTATTTTTAAAATTTTAAATAATTTTTTTACTTGTTTAGATATACCTTACTTAGATATATTTAAAAAGTAAAATATTTATAAAAAATCAATAAATACACAAGAATACGAAAAATATACTGAATTTTTATATTTTTCTTATATTTTTGATATTTCATGAATTTTTGTAAAGATTTTTTTTACAAATATTATATTTTTACTTGTATTTATGTTAGGTATATCTAAAAATAAAAAAAAATTATTTAAAATATTAAAAAAATTCAATAAAATAAAAAAATACAAAATTTTTTTTAAAAAATAAATCCTGAGTTATGAAACCAAATAAACAAATCTCCTTGCCTGCATGAATAACGACAGCTGAACCACCAAAAAAAAAAATAAATAAATAAAATTTAAAGGAGGTGCACAATTATAAAAGAATCACACAACTTTTTAATAGTGGTAGAGTATTTTATAATTGTTTATTGTCATCCTTTTAAAATGCATAAATTTCCAGAGAAATTCATGGTCCATCATGAAACAAAAAGTCTGTGTTATAATAAAAGTGTTTTTGTGTGGATAGGCAATTCATGTTGTTGATGAGTGATTATTTAGAGGTCACTTAAGTAACATAAAAGTGATGAGATTGAGTGTTTAAATCAATAACAATCATATCGAAATATCAAAAAAATTATATACTTTTTCGTTGTTGATCATATGCCCTTATTGCAATTTGCAAACGCATGGGAGAGCTTCGATATGTACCCATTTCATTACAACTTTTTTATTCATTGTAACCCTAGCAATCTAGGAATTTTTTTATACATGTGAGTGTAAAGATATATTAATGTGGCATAATTAAAACCTCCCCAAACTAATCTAATTAAATTAATAATTAACAGAAAAATCCTTGTTTATGTGAGAGCAAAGATATATTAATATTAGTGATATTTTTTAATAATATTTAATAAAAATATATATATATATATATATAAAAATCTTTACACCATATTAATTACGACCTCGTTATTAAAAAGAGATCAATGTAATTTACACATATAAATGAGGTCATTTGACCTTATTGAAGCCTACTTTTATTGATCAGCTTGAAGTCTAGTCTCATTAGAGTGAAGGATAATTTGTAAACTGAAATGTATTTTTTCATTTTGAAAATCAGTGGTGACAAAGAGTTGTTTTCCATATTTAGGCCAATTGGTGGGCTGTTGATCCATGTAGACATAAGGGGAAATTATTCCCTTATTTAATAATCTCAAAATATGATGTGACCATACTCTAAGTCAATCATCAATTACTTAGTCCAATGTTTATCTCCTATCCCCAACATATAGTGAGTCCCTACCCCTCTCTACCAATTAAAAACCTTATAAGTATTACGTGTCTATATTCTGAAAATACTGAATAATCACTCCAATAGAATTTCATTAGAGGACTCCATTTTGGTTCTTATATATCAGTCTTGTTTATTTTCCCATTTTCCCCTCAGATATCTGGGCTTGGCCCAATGAATTACCTCTATAATATAGAAGCATGGAATACCCAATTCAGGCTATCCAGCCCAAACTTTGAGCATTATGAACTGCCTAATACTATTGGTTGAAATTATTATTCAATATAGGTTTTTATAAACATATTAATTTTGAAAATCATACTTTTTTACTATCAAATTTTTTTTAGAAAGTAGTGAATTTATTGTGAAAATCGTGAGTTGATGGGTTGTGTTATAAAAATAAAACTAAAAACATGTGCCTATTAATTTGAAGTAAGATTTCTTCAAGTTAAAATTTAGTGGTACTTAATCTTAGGGACCAAGCAATCCAATTTAAAACAACTTCAATGAAGACATTTAAAATGTACGTATACAATAAAGATACTCAATTTTATATATTAAAATTTTTATTAATTTAATGAGCAAGTAAGTGCTCCAAATAAAATGTTAAAAGTATATGTTAAAACTTGTATTAAGTGAATAATAAGAGTATTATAAGATAATTGTAACTCCGTCCATATCACCTGTCGCACACTTTCTCTCCCTCTTTCTTGTCTGTTTGGTTAGGATTTGTTCGGAAATGGTCACTTAAATGATTGATAATCTTGTTACATAATACAAAATATCAAACTTGAAAAAAGTAAAAAACCAAGATGAAGAATGTCACAAGCAAAATGAAACTGTTCGTAAACAAGTTTAGTTTAAACAACAAAAACTACCACGAACAAACTACCGTTGTCAAACACTAACAAAAGCGATTCATTCAATCATCTTTCTTGTCGGTTGGTTGGGACTTGTTTGCAGCGGTGGAACGCTTGTCCTCGAAGGTTTTGGCTTGAATCTCATCCCTCTCTCTGAAATACCTTTCAAAGGCCTTTGGAAGGAATTGAGGAATCAAGAAACAGAAAACATTGGTTGAGAAGTAAACCAGATTGGCCGCTGCTAGACCCCTCCCAAACCAAAACCATGCAATATCCTGCACCACCACCACGAAAAATTTAATAACCAATAATATGGGGCAAGAATAATGATAGATAGATAAAAAAAAAATTTATGTAAAATTTCTATACAGAATGATGAGACACAATCTAGACGTTTCGCTTTAAAACAGCAACACCATAAATATGATTTTTGTTTTACAAATTGCACGGCCAACATTATTATTGGGATTTTTTTGAGTAACTTATCTGTATGAATAGAAATTTTCCATTAGGCAAACATAGCTAGAATTGAAAAGGACAATTAGAATACCAAGTGTGACTAATCCCTACTAATCTACTGAATTCTTTTACCAACTGCATTGGATGTTAACCCCACATCTATGTGTATAGTTGGCAAAAAATTCGGTAATTTACTAGAAATATTTTTATTTTTTCTTAGAATACAAAGAAGTATAAATGGGGCTTAAGATAAACTATACTAGTAAAGTATACCAATTATTATATATTAATACCTAATCTTAATTCGTATCAATTGAATTCTTGAAATTCTACACCCCTAATTACTATCAAAATAACTAACGAAAAATGTTCATGTCAAAATCACATCAGGTATTTGAAGGACATCAATTTATCTCATTTTCCAACTAGATGAATCACATGTCAATCCCTAAAATGCAAATAAAAAAATAAAAATAAAAATTAAATTTCTACTTGAATTTGCTGCTACATAACTTGTTTCCTTATTTGATTTATAGTATTTTGCATAAATGTCTAATATTAGGTTGATGTTGTCTTTTCTTTAAACGATGGTCAGGGAATGGGACTAACAGGATTACATTGGATTAATATGTGAAATTTAAGAATGCAATTGATATAAATGAAAAATTAGAGATAAAAGTATAATTAATCCAAATTCTTATGCATTTTTTTTGGTCTTCTTTTTGCATGTAAAAATACTGCTAAATAAGATTCACCTTGAATTGGGCATTTGCTGGCAAAGCCTTGTTGATCCACACATCTTGAATCCAATCACTGATGACAAAGATCCTCCTCACAGTATAGAGCAGCGGCACCAACGCCCTCACCGGTGACGAAAAAAGTGACAACCCACTAATTACATTCTCCGTTAGTATTTGAAACGCAAGCAAGAACAAGTGAGGCGTAGCAGACCGGACCGCATGTTCATCGCCTCTAGCAAAACCACCCAAAACATAAGCTAGTGGCAAGAATAGCCCCACGGTGGTTCCAACCACCACGTATAGCCGGAAAAGCCAACTTCCTTGGAAGATTTCCTGTGATCCTATGGTGGTGGTACCGTGCGCTGGAAAGGCTAATCGGGATAGGGCAATAAGGTAAGCGGAGACAAAGGCTGGGAAGATTAGGTCTAGGAGTGGGACAAGACCGCTAGCTGAGAAAACCATTATGAAGGCTACTAGTTGGAGTTCGATAACTCGTAGGGAACCCATCACACCCCCCATCGCCGCCTGTGGCGGTTGGTGGTGGCGTTGTTGGGGCTTCTGCTCGAGTTTTGCGTCTGAGGTGGTGGTGGTGGTGGTGGTTACATTGGGCTCGGGACGAGGAGCCACTGCTAGAGTTACATCTGACATTATAGTTTTCCTTGTTTCAAGCCTTGTTGTATTGTTTGGTCAATTGGGTTAGCTGGTGTGTACAATGGACCCTTTCAAGGATTCAAATGAAGATTTTTTTTTTTTTGTTTGGAGATGAATTTCTTGGGTGGACTGTTGAAACCTGAAAGAAAAGAAAAATGAGAAGAAAATAAAAATAAAAATACACCACTGAATGATCTCCATAAAATCATTGCTAACTACAATAACTAGTGAGTGCTACATGCTAACATTTGGCTTACCCATCAAACTTATAATTTACATTGCAAGTTCACTCTCAAAATCCAAAATTATTCCCAATGATCACCCCTTAGGACTCTGTGTGGACATCAATCCCAAAAAAAAAGCTCAAATATATATATATATTCACTTTTCTGTTTCAAAAAATTCAAGATTCAAATATAATGACCAAATCAAACAGGCCCCAATTTGTACCTTTAAAAAATGGTGTATTTGAAAACAATGGGCCCGGGTTTTCTGTCACTTATGCATTAATTAATTGTTCATTTTTCAATTAAACGCTAATAATTTTTGAAAAATACTATTTATACATAATATATACCCAAAAAAATCACAACAATGACGTGATAATGCCACCATTTCAGTAAATAAATGTTATCTTTGTGTGGCTTTGATTTAAAATGAATGGTCTCCATTAAGACGCATCATTATATGTAGGTATAATTTTTTATATATGTTTATCATAAAAAAAATGCCGTTAACAAGACTGACTAATTGTGATTTAGAATGACTCAAGAAAGATGAAGGAATCGCCCAAGATTATCCACTAAGCTACATTAAGTGAAGAACTTAAATATCATGATAAAAGCTAAAATAGCAAGATATGGCGGCGTTGGGCAAGATTTGGTTTTGGATTTTTTCCACTGAAAGACAAAATTTTTACAAAATAAAAAAAAAAAAAAAAATTCAAACAAAATATCACATCCAACCCCATAATCAATTTATTTTTTCTCTCACAAATATTACATCCAACTAAAAAAAAAACCTAACTATCTTCCCAAACACCAAAATTTTTTTATCCAATAATATCTTACAACTAAAAAAACATACATAAAAACTCACTTCCCAAACATCCACATAAATCATTGTGATTGTTACATAGAAACGTTAATCAGATCCATAGAGATTTCAGTTCAAGAGCTAAATTAAGGATGATACAAATGAGTAAAATCTAAAAACCAATTTGTAAAAAAAAATCTTTAAGTTCCTATGTTTCAATCAATCATGCAACAATTATAATGCACGTGAATCTGGAGACATAATTCAACCAATAACACTCTATGAGTGAATCCTAAAAATTTAAGAATACAGAGACAACTTGTGTTCAAAAACAAAAGATAGCAAAAAACAAGATAAACAAAGATCATCGCAATCACATACATAAATGTAAATGTAAAACATAAAACCAACATGAAATTGAAATCTAGGCAGAGCATAAACACATACCTAGCAAATCATAGAACCCATAAACAAAAACAAAAACAAAAACAACAACAAGGACACAAACACAAACACAAACACAAAAAACAGAAAAATGAAGAAGAAGGAGAAGAAGAAGATGAAGGGTTATCTATTTTACTATGTTGTTGAAGGGAAAGCGAAATGATAGTGGTTTTGGAAGCAAACCGAAACTAAAGCCGATAAATATGTTTGGAGAAAGTCTTGCGTTGTCTACGGTGCTTCCACGTATACGCTTCATCTTACTGACGCGTGTACATTTTTGTCCACCTGGAGTTGCTTTTGCTCTGCCACGTATCAATTTGTAACGGCTTGGTGGAGTACCTTAGAACTTATCGCCTTAAAATCAAAATAAGCATAAACACATACCATATGAAAGAAAAATTCTTGTGTGCAGATAAGATACCATGTGGTATGTTACATGATACTTTTGACCAATCATAAATATTATAGTCTCTTATATTGTCTTTTTATTACCTAACACATAAATATAGCTCACACTCTCTCAACTAATGAGAGAAGAAAAAGGTACCACGTGGCACCTACTCTATCCGTACCAAAAAATTTCTCCATATCAAAGACTTTTTGTGAAAAATAATTAGCTTAAAACATTCATAAATCTCTCTTAATCTATTTATATTTCACTTAATTTAAATTATTTTTTAATATTTCAATAAATTTTATGTAAAATATCTTTAATAATAATAGGGTGAAACTCGCATTAATATTTATATTAACAATATGAATGTTTCATAATATGAATATTCACATTGTAAAATTTATTTTCTATGAATGCTTACATCATCAAGTGACTAAATGTTTCACAAACAATTGTAAGGATAAAATTGTCCATAAAATATCTTTAATGTGGGAATTAGGATTTAGTGGATCAAATATGTAAAATAATAAGATTTACTAGAATACAAAAATATCTTATAGACTAGTTAGAATATGAGAATTTTCTAATAAATTATCCTAAATTGTATATTTAAAAAAAGAAGATAAATTATATTAATCTTCATTAAAATTTAGAAAAAATATTGTAAGCCTTACAAGTTTATAATACTTAAACCCTTTTCGTTGAAAATTTGTTAGTGGTATAAATGAAAAAAATAATGCTATCATTTCTTTTACATTAAGATATAAATTTTACATTGTATATCTTTTTATTTTCATATCATTTGTATTAGTTTTAATTTATTTATCCTTATTACAAAAAAAGAGTCAGTGTAATTATATTAAAATTATAAAATTTATTGTATTTTTTTCAAATCTCAAAAGAGGCTAGTGTTTACTCTTAACAAAATGTTAGCAATCACAAAAAAATTAGGTTTTTTTAATTTTATCTTTAGAATTGCATAAAACTATGAAATTGGATTACAAGGTTCGAAGGTAAAAAATTCTCCTCATGCCATCATACAATTGATTTGAAATAAATAAAGACAAATCTTAACCAATATATAAAAGAATGGAAGCTAATAGGTCATTTTTGTTAGAAATTAGACGTTCATGTGGCATGACCCTTAGAAATTTTTGAACTTGAACCTTATTATGTAAGTTTGAATTTGAATTCAAAACTTATTTGGATAACCATTCAGGATATCTATATCTATCATATCAATAGATATAAATAGATGGATAGATAGATATTGGTTATATATCAGATTATATGGTTAATCTATAGAGATACGTATATCAGATATACGTTATGTGGTTTTTACCCATAACCTTTTTTCCTAGACTCTCTTTCTGACTCTCTCCCAGAAAACAACGATCAAGCCATTTTGTACTGTGACTTGTGTGGGTGATACTCATTTTGTAGTATCACTCCACTGCTGGGTTCGTTGACTGATCAGATTTTGGAAGCACGTGATTTACCCACGAGGTTGTGTCATTAAGGTATGATCTGAATTATTTTTATCCGATGCGTTAATTTATAATGCTTTATGATTTACATTGATATCAGAGCCTATATGGGTTTTTTTATGCTTATTTTTTATGCATTAAAATATGTGTATTTTTTTTATACAAATATATACACATTTTATGCATGAAAATTAATGGAGGAGGAAGATGAAGTGCGTGGTTTTTTGCACTTCAACTCTCATTGATTGAGAATGTGATACACTTCATTTTTATGTTCATTAAATGTTATTTTTAATATCATAAATGTTTTTATTGTGAAAAATGGAGTCCGGCAGTACAAAAATCGAACCAGAAAATACCCTGGAAGGCGAAGCGTGGGAGGCTTCCACGCGCCTCCACGCGTTCTCACGCGCCTCCGTGCGCTCTCACGCGCCTCCACGCCCGCGCTGTTCCGCGCTTTCCACGCGCGCACCCTCCGCCGCGAGCCGCGTGCTGAGCTGTGCGTCGAGCCGCGAGCCGTGCCGTGTGCTGAGCCGCGCCGTTTTTCCTTCGCCGGCTTGGCTGCTGATGTAAGGGTCTGTTTGTTTTGTTTTTAAATTTAGAATTACGTTAAATGGTCATAATTAATTCGTTATAGCTTTGTTTTAAGCATGGTTAGTACCGTTAGACTCAGAATTATATTTTCTATCTTTTGTAAAATTTTGAAAATTTTATGAAAATAAAAAGTATTTTTCCTGTGATTATAATTCATTATTTATGATTTAAAATGCTTCTGGTATTGCATAAATTATTTTCTGGGGTTGAATTTTTTATTGTAGATTTCTGAAATGTTTTACTATTTATTGGAATAATTTTTTTAGTTTATCAGATTCTAGAATTTTTTATTTCTAATTTAATGTGTGTTTATTAGTTATTTAGAATTCCAGAAAATTTCAGGAAATTTCAGAAGTGATACAGTTTCTGTTATGGCATAATTTGAATATTAAATACAGCATATTATTTTTTTTTGGGGTTTGTAATATGTTGTGATTAGAATAGCATGATTAATTATTTTTTATTTTAATTCCGTTATTAAATGTAATATAGCATGTATTGATTGTGAATCTACATTATGATGCTATTGTATGGAATTAGAATTTTTTTATCATGCTTGAATATACAAAAATAGTTAGTGGGAGGTTATTCGGTTGAGAGAAATCTTTGTAGATTAACTCCCGAAAACCAATATTTTGCGCATAAATTAAACTAAATTTTGGATAATTGTCACTTGTGGCGCAAGAGATGATTACGAGCATAGCGGATTTTCGATCTTGCGACTTGTGTAATATTGTCACTATTTAATTTAGATTTTTGTGGCAAAATTATATTATGCTAATCAAATTAATCCCAATACGAATTTCTCTCTAAATTGACTTAGCTTATGGAAGTGAATTGGTTGACCTAGACTTAGTAAAGATGTTCAAATGTGAACAATGTAATCCCATTCTTTAGATGAGCAAAAGTCTTGGAGACTTTAGGTCAGGTCTTAATTGAGCCAAAGTAAGAAAACATGACTCAAAGTCGCCGTGGTTTTGTTGCCTTGTTTGGCATAATAAAAACTAATGTGTGCGCTATGATTAGAGGCACGCTACGTAGTTTTGGTTGGCGAGTTTTGGAGTTATGAAATTAGTAAGCCCTCAATAGACCTGTATATGATCATAACTATTGAGCTGCGCGGATTGACTTTGTAATTTGACTTGTAAATAATGTTACATCATTGGATGAAGTAACATTCAAGAGTCACGTCATCCAAGAAATGCGAGCTTAAATAAATTAGTCATTAAGTGTAAGACGAGTAGCCAGTAAGAGCAGTGTTTTGCTCTCTATCCAATTATTGGGAGTGGATTGAGCGAAATTTCATGCACTATAATAGTGTGCGTTGAAATATCACGTGAAGTTAAAAGATTAGCGCTTAGAAGCTGCAAAATCTATTAACACTAAGT